GTGAAACGGAAGCGGGCTGTCTGCCTGGCTTAGCGGTCACTCGTGCGTTCTCACTTCTACCCACCCAGAAGCTCCCAAGGACGTTCTCTGCCCACCCTGCTTGCAGAGTTCAGACCCATAAACACTTCTATTATCTGCGCCTAAAACACAGGCAAGTCCAGCCTCCGTGGGTGGGAAGGGCGTGGCTCATCCCCTCTGAGCAGGGCAGGCCCAGGCCCAGCATGGAAAGGGGCTGCTGAGTTGTTCTGAATCCCCCCGATTGTTCCTGCCTTGTCTCCCAGGCCACCAGACCTGCAGTCCCCGCCCTGGGCTGCCCTCTTCTGAGTTGTTTTCCCCAGGGTCTTGGCATTGGTGGGACAGTGGGACGCCACTGCAGCCCTGCCAGGCCCCTGTGTGGGGGACGTTCCCATCCATTGACTGAGAAGCCCCTCCCGTTTCCTTCCGTGTTTCGGCGCTGCGCTCTCCCTCCTTGGGATCAACTGGTGCCACCCCTTCCTGGCAGGGCTGTGGGAGCCCCTGATGGCAGCCTGTAGTTGTCATTCACAGGAAGTGCTTTCAAGTCAAATCTCCCTCCTCTTCGTATTCACCTCAATTTGAGACATTTTACTGTTAAAACGTTGTATTGGGGACTGTCCCTTCAGCCATCGTGTCCCCTGACCATATGATGGCAGCCTGTAGTTGTCATTCACAGGAAGTGCTTTCAAGTCAAATCTCCCTCCTCTTCATATTCACCTCAATTTGAGACATTTTACAGTTAAAACGTTGTATTGGGGACTGTCCCTTCAGCCATCGTGTCCCCTGACCATAGCTGCTGTCCCCAGTCTGGGCTGGGGGCCTTTGGCAGTGGCTCCAGGCTGGCCGGGCAGGCTCAGCTGGTTTGCTCAGCTGTGGAGGGGTCTTTCAGAATGACAGAAGACGTTTCTGCTGCTCCTGCATGGTTATCCCATGGCGGACAGTGCCTCTGGCCATTTCTGTGCTTGGGAGGGACGTCCTCGTGGGTGGGTCTTGTTTGAGCTTCCTCAGTGTCTCCTGATGACGTTCTCACACCGGGTTGAGGCGCTGTGGGCTTCTGCCCAGGGTTGATCTTAACCTACGGCTGTTGTAGTTCACAGGGCAGCCACCGGCTCATCCCTTCCTGTCCCAGAGCTTCCCTGGGGTGTGGGGTCTGAGGACCTTGAGCTGCCGCCGTGGGGAACGTTGCAGGCACACTGCCCTCGCTGTCTGTCTTGTTTCCATAACCTTTCTTGCTGAACCGTCTCTTCTCGGGAGGAGGGAGTGGAGCCAGCCTCCACCGCTGTGCTCTGTTGGTGATGGGGTTCTGCTCCCCCCAAAAGCCACCTGCACTGGATTCTCCACACCTCAGTTTGTTCTGAGCTGTGGTCTTGCTTTGGCCGTTTCCTCCACTGCAGCTCGTGGCTGTCGGCGGATCCTCTCCATTTCCTCCTGTTCCCGGCACCTCCTTGCCTCCGATCCCCCTCGCCCCCCGTCCCCAGGCCTGAGTGTAGTCCAAGGGAAGGGCTCCGTGTCCCAGCCACTGTGCGGTGCATGCACGAGCCTCCCTGGAACACGTGTGCTTTGCTGTCTTCCAGACCCCACGCATGGGCACCTTCATCGGCGTCTACCTGCCCTGCCTGCAGAACATCCTAGGTGTGATCCTCTTCCTGCGCCTGACGTGGATTGTGGGGGCGGCAGGCGTGCTCGAGTCCTTCCTCATCGTGTCCATGTGCTGCACCTGCGTGAGTGGGGGCCTTGCCCTGGGGACTCGGGACAGCCAGACGGACATTGGGGACCCTGCGAATCTGGAAAACTGCAGGCTCTCGGGGGCTGCTCTGGAACCCCTGGGATTGCCCTGCAGACCTGTCTCAGGGTGCGCCACCTAGGTGGCACGGCTGGTCGGGTGAGGTCGGATTATTGATCAGCTGATGGAATCTTATTTAGCTGCATCTGCAGAATTGCATTTTAGCTTCCGGTGGTGGACATCATGTGCATATCTGGTGGCCAAGGGCTTCAGTGGGGTGTCGCCACTCGGTGGGGTCCTGCATTTTGACAAGATCACCTCCCAGTTTGGAAGGATCTCAGGCATCTTCGGGGGTCCCCTTGTGCAGAAAGGAACACAGTGGTTCTGTTCCTCATTCACCCCAGTCCTGGGGTGGGGTGGTGCAGCTGGCCGGAGCTGCTGGTGCTGGCGGCTCTCTGGCAGGCCACCCGCCCGGCCCCCCGTGCTTGGCCGTCATCTTCATTTGACGTGGATTCTCTCCTTTGTCACTGTTTTCTTGCATCTGGTTTACCCTTTAAATGTTCCTGGGAGCTTCCTTCAACCACCAGCTTTTTCTTTTTCCCTCTGCTCTTTTTCTGGTTTTGGTGGCTGGCTGTTACAGGGAGCAGACCCCAGGCCGTGGAGCTACCAGCACCATGCTCTGACCAGCTGAACTTTTTTCTTGTTAATAGGGATGCAGTTTAGCTGTTTTAACTGCCCAAGTGTTAGCTGAGACATTCTGTCTGGGAAGCATTCAGGCGGGGCAGGAGCCCTGGCCCCTCTGCAGGACACCCCTCACCTTCAGGTGGTGGCCAGGGCCCTTCCTGAGCAGAAGGCCCATCCTGGACTCACTCTGGATGCTCTCCAGTGCCCTCAGGGGAGGTGGGCGCCTGGGTGGAGCCAGTCTTTCAAGTTGGGGCTTTCTGGAGCCTGCAGGAGCTCAGCTCTGTGTGTTGGGTAGGAAAGGGCTGAGAACCAGGAGGGCTGTGCACCCGGGCGTCCCTGGAGCCTCTCGTGAACGCAGCAGCTCCTTTGAGATGGAGGGGCCAGGTCACAGGCACCCCCAGAGCTCGTGTGGACTGGCTTTGGAAATGTCCTTTCTCCTCAACAGTCACCCATCTTTTTGCAGACGATGCTCACCGCCATCTCCATGAGTGCGATTGCCACCAATGGTGTGGTCCCAGGTAAGGGATGCCACCGCCACACGGCCTTCTCTACAGTGCAGTCACTGAGCCACAGCACTGTGGGTGACAGCAACCTTGACATTAACCCTCCACCCTTCACCGAGGCCAGAGCAGGGCCCAGGCCCTTCCAGAGCGGCTCGCCCGGCTGCCCGCAGGGTGACCCCCTCTCAACACTGCTGCTCTGTCTCCTGACATGGGGACAGGGCTGGTGCCCCTGGTCTCCTGGGGCTTCTTCCCACAACCCTCCGTGGGCACAGCCGGGCTGTCCTCGAGCCTGGTGGAGTAGGTGCTGCGACTCTTCCCACAGCGGATGCCTGCAGGTTCAGAGGCCACTGTTGGTTGGATTCTTTTTGGCATGGGGACTTCAGCAAATGCTCTGGAAGATGCTGTGCCAGTCTGGTTTACACCTTGGACCTCTGCACAGAGGGGCTGGTGTTCATCATGGACAGTGAGGACTTCCTTTTGGTCCTGAATTTTAATTTTCATCGACCATCGTGCTCTCTAAGTCAAGTCATTCTTAGACTGAATGTGCACGCTGGCGGTAGCTGTCCCTGTGCTACCGGCAGCCTCCTGGTCATGTTCTCTGCCACCTCTTCAGCGTCTGAGCCTGAGAACCCACGGCCGTTCGCAGTTCTCCCGTTCTGCCACACAGGCACCCTTCTGCTTGCTGGGGTGGGGGCACCCGTGGGCAGAGGCCTTGGTGGGGGAGGAAGCGCTCCTGGTCATGTTCTCTGCCACCTCTTCAGCGTCTGAGCCTGAGAACCCACGGCCGTTCGCGGTTCTCCCGTTCTGCCACACAGGCACCCTTCTGCTTGCTGGGGTGGGGGCACCCGTGGGCGGAGTCCTTGGTGGGGGAGGAAGCGCGTCTATGGCTACCCGGAGCCCAGTTCGTCCCTTAGGCTGTGTTCTCTGAACACTTACCCCATGAGAACAGGTGAAGACGGAATGCTGTCGTTTACTTAAAGTCGTCAATAATGAGTTAGCAGGAGACAGTGGTTAATTTGCACCTGATCTGCATGTGCATGGATGGGCTAGGCTTGGTGTGCACCCAAGTCCCCGGCAGCTGTCTCTAGTCCCCAGACGTTCGGCCACTGAGCTTGCCGCAGTGATGCGCCTGCCTGCCAGGCGACCTTGGTGCAGGGATGGGAGCATGAGGGGGCCTGGCTGTTGGGCTGTGGAGACCACCTCTGCTGCTTTGTGACTGTGCCCGGGAGAGCCCCTTCCTCAGTGCTCAGCCCTGCTGGAAGGCGGCACCAGGCGCTCTGCCCGGCAGAGGGTGGGCAGCACATCCCAGATGTGCCCAGTGAGCTGCCCCAGCATGCTGGTCAGTGTGCGAGCACCACATTGGCCCACAGACAGACTGCAGGGCCGGGTGTCCAGTGTGCAAAAAGGTCTCTTCACGTGTGACACAGGACACATCAAACGTTAATGGAATTGGCGTGTTGGGCCTGATGTTGAGACAGGGGACCTTTTAGCGGAGCTGCTCTGGGGCCCGTGCGTTCCTGCTTGTGGTGGTTTTACTCTCTGTCCTTACTTAGCCGCAGTGTCCACTGGGGAGCTGCCACAGTGGGGCGGGTGCCCACTGACTCTCATGTGCCAGTCTGTCCTCTGAGATCTGAATTCACGGTAAATGGTGCATCTCTGATGTGTTGTTTTCGGTTTTGTTTTTGCAGCTGGAGGCTCGTACTACATGATATCCCGGTCTCTGGGGCCCGAGTTTGGAGGGGCCGTTGGCCTCTGCTTCTACCTGGGCACGACGTTTGCAGGGGCCATGTACATTTTGGGGACCATTGAGATTTTTCTGGTGAGTGCATTGTTTGGAATGGCTCCCTTGCCAAGGCCTTTGCCCACAGGTCCGTTACCCTGTGGTGTAACCAGCGCCCCTTTGAGTCGTCCATCACCCCGTGGCCCTGGATTCCTTGCTGCACTGGGCTCTCGAGCTGGTAGTGTCTGTCTCCTTGGCTTTGGGCTGTGGCCAGAGCTGCCGCATCCTCGTGGCCTCTCAGGGGTGAGCACCTGGCACATGCTGAGTAGGTAACGTCTGGGCCTCAGGTCTGAGCCCGGGGTGGGCGTGCGGCCTCCACGGTCTGAGCTGTTTTGGGAGGCAGGACAGGAACAGACAGAGAGAGCGCCCCTCAGCCAGGATCTCTGAGTGGCTCTTCCTTGTTGGCTGCAAACATTCAGGCCCCTGTGCAGAAGGTTCCCCGAGACCTAAAACTGAAGTGTTTGTACTCAGTTGGCTGGTGCATGTTCAAGCGGAAGTGTCCTGGTCTGCCACCTCCTCTGGTGGCACATGGTCACTTTAGACCTTCTGAGTCCTATAGAGCTTGCCCATCCCACTGCTTGTGGAAAGCCCAAGAGAAGGTATCCTCTGGAAAGACACAGGCCCCCAATTCAGAGCCATGGGCAGTGGCTGGGCCCGTGGGCTTTGCTCGGGGAGGTTCAGGGATGCATTTGCCTGCTGGGCACTCAGGAGCCCACAGGTCTGCAGGTGGCGCTGACATGTGGGGGATCTCAGGGGCTCATGCGAGGACATTCTAACTCAGGGTTGGCTGGGGTGGAGATTCTGTGTTTTTAGTGAGTTCAGTGTGCCCCTGTGAGTCCTGGACCGACACTGAGCGACAGGGTTCTAGAGTGTTCATCTCCCTCCTGCTAGGTGTCCGTTGGGATGTGAGGAATCACCCCACATGCAGCTGCTTGGAACCACCCCCAGGCCACTGCTGTCCTGGAGGGCAGAGGCGCCACCTGGTGCTGGCAGAGACCTTGGGCTCGCCTGCAGCCTCCCCATGGCACCTCTCCCCCTGCTTGTTCCTGCAGACCTACATCTCCCCCAGTGCAGCGGTCTTCCAGGCAGAGGCTGTGGAAGGCGAGGCGGTCGAGGGCGAGGCGGTGGCCCTGCTGAACAACATGCGTGTGTACGGGACATGCACTCTGGCGCTCATGGCCCTGGTGGTCTTCGTGGGTGTCAAGTATGTCAACAAGCTGGCCCTGGTCTTCCTGGCCTGTGTGGTGCTGTCCATCCTGGCCATCTATGCCGGTGTCATCAAGACCGCCTTCGATCCCCCAGACATCCCGTGAGTCCTCGTCCCTCTGCCTGGCGGGGCTGTCCGCGTGTGTGGCCAGGCCCAGGCTCTAGGGTTCCTTGCCTTCCCGCCTCTGTCATCCCAGATGCTGGGCCCTTCTCTTGGCATGACGTGAGGTGACCTTGGGTGGCCACTCCTGGGCTCCGCGTGTGGTTGCTCTGAAGATCACGTGAAACCCAGCAGAGCATGGAGTGTGTCCCCGTGCCCCTGTAGCCAGGCCTGGGTGCATCTGAGGACAGGAGGTTTGAAGGACCCAGCATGTTCTGGGGCGGCCCACCTGCCACACCCATGTCCCAGCTCCCTGCAGCCTCACAGAAGCCCCTCGGTGGGTTCTTTTCTCACCCGTTGACCGATGAGGAGGTGGCAGGGAGCTGGTTTGTGTTTGGGCCCCACGGCTGCCCTAGGTGAGCCCACCACCCAGGAGCAGGTCTGAGGAGGGGCTGGGCACCCTGGGACAGGCTGGGTGGGGGGCCGGGGTGGCGCCAGCCCCCTCAAGGCTCCTGCACGTCACTGTCTCTGCATGCAGGCAACACCCCTGTTGACACCTGCCTTAGATAGGATGGCCCTGAGCGTCATAAATCCTGTTCATGGGGAAGTGGGCCCAGGGCCTGCGGCAACTGGCTTAGGCACTGACCCAGACGGGCTTGTGGAGTCTGACAAGCATCTGACAGCGGATCCCTCATGGTCAGCTGGGAGAAGCAAGAGAAATAATTCCAGGAGGAGCCAGGCTTAGGCACTGACCCAGACGGGCTTGTGGAGTCTGACAAGCATCTGACAGCGGATCCCTCGTGGTCAGCTGGGAGAAGCAAGAGAAATAATTCCAGGAGGAGCCGCAGTCTCATGGCTCCCCGTTCCCGTGTCTAGGGTCTGTCTCCTGGGGAACCGCACGCTGTCAAAACGCAGCTTCGACGTCTGTTCCAAGATGCACGTTGTTGCCAACAACACGGTGACCACTGCGCTCTGGGGCCTCTTCTGCAACGGCTCCCGGCCCAGCGCCACCTGCGACGAGTACTTTGCACAGAATAACGTCACCGAGATCCAGGGCATCCCGGGTGTGGCCAGTGGTGTCTTCCTGGGTAGGTGTCTGGTGGGGTCTTGGTTGGGGGCTGGCCCCCATGGGCACGGTCACTGGAAGCCGCCGACAGGGCCCTGGTCTCCTTGCCTCTCCCGAGTCTCTGTGGGAACCCTCCCCAGGGCCGTGGAAGCCACACATGGTGTGTCGGGGGCAGCCTGTCGAGGCTGCAGTCGGTCATTTGTTTTCCCGGCTTAAGAGCAGAGCACGTGGGGAGCTTGCGGGGCCGTGGGGAGATGGTTAGCAGGGGAGACCAGGGTTTTCCCTTCTGTACCTTGTCCCAAGATGAAGACATTGTGCTGGGGTCTCCCCACCCCACAAGACAGGCCTGCCCTTTTAGGGAAAAGGAAAGATTCTGAGAACACCTGAGCGCGGGTCCCTGGTTACCTCCCCGAGTCAGGTCGGGACTCTGTGTGTCTCCTGAGGTGTGAAGTCAGGGGTCCACGCTGGGGGCTGGCCCGGCCAGTGACAGGTGGGCAAGGAGGGGAGGACAAGAGCGTTGGGATCCTGATGCTCGAGGCCCTGCCTGAGACCACCACTGCTGAGCCCAGCCCCGACAGAGCAGGACCCCAGCGGGGGACGCAGAGCGGGCGGAAGAAGAGCGAGGGGTCTGGGGGGTTGGCTCTGTGGGGAGGGGTCTGGGGTGTGGTCTCTGTGGGGAGGGGTCTGGGGTGTGGTCTCTGTGGGGAGGGGTCTGGGGTGTGGTCTCTGTGGGGAGGGGTCTGGGGTGTGGTCTCTGTGGGGAGGGGTCTGGGGTGTGGTCTCTGTGGGGAGGGGTCTGGGGTGTGGTCTCTGTGGGGAGGGGTCTGGGGTGTGGTCTCTGTGGGGAGGGGTCTGGGGTGTGGTCTCTGTGGGGAGGGGTCTGGGGTGTGGTCTCTGTGGGGAGGGGTCTGGGGTGTGGTCTCTGTGGGGAGGGGTCTGGGGTGTGGGTCTGGGGGGTGTGGTCTCTGTGGGGAGGGGCCTGTGGGGTGTCTACAGGCAGCAGGGGTGTGGGTGGCTGGTGGGTGGGGCCCCGACAGAAGGTTCCGGAATCCTGTCAGGAAGTCTCCTCGCCTGGCCCGTGCTTCCCCGCAGACAACCTGTGGAGCACCTACGCAGACAAGGGGGCGTTCGTGGAGAAGAAGGGCGTGCCCTCGGTGCCCGTGCCGGAGGAGGGCCGCACCCGCGGGCAGCCCTACGTGCTCACCGACATCATGACCTGCTTCACCATGCTGGTCGGCATCTACTTCCCGTCGGTCACCGGTGAGGCTCCCTGTCCCCATCCGTGTCTCTCACATGCTCATCCCTGTCCCCACCCTTCCCGAGCACTGTCCCCTCCGTGTGCGTCGTGGCTGATTTGGAAGAGCTGGGCGCTCTCCCTAGTAGCCCGTGCTGTGGAAGCAGCTGCGTGACAGCCGCGTGTGGCTGCTGAGAACGCTTGGTGCGTGGTGAGGTGACGCTCAGACGTGGCCTTGCAGGGAGGTCAAAGATGGGGCGCCTCGGCTGTCCTTGTCCTGATCCTTACAGAAGGTCGTCCTCACTGTCTTCTCCATGGGGCCCTTAGTTCATGCCAGACCTTCTGATTACTCCCAGTGCGGCAGGTTCAGCGAGAGCCCCCAGCCCCTGCCCAGCCACACGGCCTGCAGCTGCCCAGAGTCTGTCCCTTGGTCCCTGCTGCGTCTGCTCCTGGGCTGCTCACCCGCCTCCCGAGGCCCCGGCGCTCAGAAGCAGGGCGCAGGAGGGCTGGGGTCAGCAGAGCCGGCGCCTGCGAGCGTTTCCCTGTCTCCCCACGAAGCGGGGCTCCCAGTCTGGCTGGGGCGTGTGGATCGGCCCGCTGGGCTCTTTTCCCTGCACTCTGCTCCACCCGCCGCCCTGGGGTGTGGCCCCACCTCCTTGAGCGCTGGCACCTCAGGCTGCACCTGGGCGGGACCGAGTGGGCGTCCAGGCCACCCCAGCTGGGCTTTCCTGGGCTCAGCGGAGCCGCTTCTGCTCCGTGTACAGCCCGCAGCTCTGGCATACGGGCCGGCTCTTCACGTGGTGCAGGAGGAGGAGGTTTAAAGTGCTGTGGTCCATTTGTGCCCCGTGAGTGAGTGGCACTTGACACCATCCTCCAGGAGCTCCTGACCCTCAGCCCCATGGATTACTGAGATGACAGAGGACTCCTGGGGCATGGGTGGGAGCCAGATGTGCCAGGCAGCCGGGGCTGGCTGCAGGATTGAGCGTCTGGGCTGGGCCTGTTCTCACAGCCTGGAGAGGATCGTCAGAAACCTCCAGCCTCACCTGTGGCTTAGCCTGGGGGGCGTCTGGTCTGCCTTGGCCTGTGCCCTGCCGCAGCCGGCCTGCAGGGTGGACTGGCGGGGTCTGGGCTGTACTCTCTGAGGTGTGGCTCATGCGCTGGGGACACTGACCTCGGGCAGACTCCCCAGACACCTCCCAGCATGTAGTGGCAGAGGTCGCACCACGTCTGAAGCAGCTCTGTCTCACATAGGCCTGGCCAGTGTTTTCAAGGTTTGCTGTAATGCGGCAGCTCACCCCGTCTGTTTCCGCAGGGATCATGGCCGGCTCCAACAGGTCCGGTGACCTCAAGGATGCCCAGAAGTCGATCCCCACGGGGACCATTTTGGCAATTGTGACCACATCTTTTATTTGTATCCTTGAAGGGGGTCCAGGTGGGAGGCGCTGTGTTGGGGTCATGCCACAGGCCAGGTGCATCCTGACCGCCCCGATGGCCATCTGTGTGTCCACCGGATCCCTGAGGACCACTGGGGGTGGACGCGGCAGTGTGCCCAGGATGGGGGAGGGGTCACGGTGTCAGACTGGAACCCTGGAGCCTGAGTTGGGCCGCTGGTCATGGCGTCCCACTCGACCAGGTGGCCTGCCGCTATCCCTTTGCACCGGGACCCACTGTTCCTTGACACGAGCTACAGATCTCTCCTGCATAGTGCTTTTTGGGGCCTGCATCGAGGGCGTGGTCTTGCGAGATAAGTACGTTTGCTTTTGTTAGCAGCCTGTACAAGTGCTTGTGGTCAGCCTGGGTTTTCCTGAGGACAACTGAGTCTTTGACACTAAAGTCACCCTGGGCCTCGCAGGTCCCCTTGGAGCAGGAGGCCATCTCCGTCCCTGTCCCGGGCTCCCCTTGGCTGAGACGTTAGCATGTCATCCCTTCCTCACGCATCCAGGGCCTGGGGAACCCCCGGAGCAAACCTCAACCCCTGGTGGGGCTCGGGGTGCAGGCGCAGTCCCTCTGGGAGGCTGCCGGGTGGGACCTGGGAAGACCCCTGCACACAGCCCTGACGCTAGTGGAGAAGGGGCAGGAGCCCGGGCAGGTCATCTGCTGACCCTGCCTTCCCGTGGGTGCACGTCCAACTGTCTGCCCACCCTCAGGGCTCGGGGGTCTAGGGTGTTCCCTGCCATGTTTGTGCAAGTGACCGTGGCCAACACCCACTCTAGGCCAGGCTGGGGTGCTCGTGCCCCCAAGAGAGGTCTGGGGGAGCAGGACCCGACAACGCTGCGTGCGAGCTGTCCCTCCTCCCCTAGTCCCTTCAGAGGACTCTGACTTATCTGGGCAGACCCTGGCAGGAGTCACGGTCCCCTCACTTTCCTTCTGGGGAGCCACCCTCTCCCGCAGCCCTGCGATTCCCCTCAAAGGGTGGGCAAAGGTGTTTTGTCTCTCTTGAGCTCATTTTCTGAGCTGTGCTGGTCACTCACCCGTGAACCCACCCGCCCCCCCTACAGGTTTGGGGAGGCTCTGCAGGGGAACCTTGTCATCGGCATGCTGGCCTGGCCATCCCCATGGGTCATCGTCATTGGCTCTTTCTTCTCCACGTGTGGTGCCGGACTGCAGAGCCTGACGGGGGCTCCCCGCCTGCTTCAGGCCATTGCCCGCGACGGCATCGTCCCCTTCCTCCGGGTGAGCCCTAGGCTGGGGCTGCGCTGGTGCACGGTGGACATATTCCCCTAATGAGGGGTGGTGGCCCTTGGGCAGTCAGGGGCGGGTCTGCGAGGGTCCCCAGGGGTCTGCTTCCCAGATCCTCAAAGGCAGTGGGGACACACATCTCGCCTGAGCCCCGTGGTGGCCACTTCTTCCTACTGGCCCCTGGGCTGAGCGTGGGGGACGTGGCGGGAGGGTGCAGCCCTCGCACTCCAGGCGGCAGGTCCCTCTGAGCTCCGCCAGGAGTGTCGGTCCCAGTTTTCTGTATTAGTCCGTTTCTGTTGCTTATAACAAAATACACAGAACTGGGTGATATAAGGAAAAATGAAATTTATTGCTTACAGTTTCTGAGGCTGGGAAGTCCAAAGTCCATCTGATGGTGACAACAGTGACCCAGGGGGGTCACACTGCAAGATGGTGGAATCAGAGAGCAGAGAGAGAGTGAGAGACAGACTGTCCTCTGTTTTCTTTTAAAGCCCTCAGAACCACGCCCCTGACCACCGTTTTTAATCCATTCACTACTGCAGGGTCCTACAATCTGTTCCCCTCTTCAAGGCTCCACCCCTCCATTACTGTCATAGGATTTCCCACCCTCTTAAGTCACAGTGGGGACCAAGTTTCTACTATGTAAAACTTGGGGAACACAGTTCAAGCTTCAGTGAGTTTTGGGGGACATAATTCAGTCCACTACATTTCACCCCTGGACCCCCAAAACTCCTCTTTTCGTATGTGGATATGGTCATTTCATCCCCAAAGTCTTAATTTTTCTCAGCTCAAAAGGCCAAAGCTCAAAGTCCCATCTGTGAAATCAGTACAAGTCGTCTGTTTCTAAGATACAGGGGTGGGACAAGCGTAGGGCACATTTTTCTGTTCAAAAAGAGAGAAATAAGCCAAACGAGAGGTGTCGCACGTACTGAACGAGTCCAGACCCCAGCAGGGCAGGCATTAAACCCTACAGCTGCTGAATCGTATGCCTTGACTGCACGTTCGGTGTCCTCTGCACGCTGGTGTGGGGATTCGTTGGGGACCCGCTGTGACATTAATGGGGGACTCAGCGTCCTGCCACCCAGGCCTACCCAGCGGAGGCTTTCTAGAGTGAGCGTGGAGGCCGCCGGTCGTATACGTGCGACTGCCGTACCAGAGGTCTGCAGCCGGGCTGCTCACACGGCAGACGTTTGTTCTCGCACAGTCTGGGGGCTGAAGTCTGGCATCCAGGCGTGGCAGGGCTGGTTCTCCCAAGGCCTCTCTCCTTGGTGTGTAGACGGCATCTTCTTCCTGTGTTCTCACGTGTGTCTGCGTCCTGATCTTCTCTTTTTATAAGGACGCCAAGCACATTGGATCAGGGCCCACCCTAATAACCTCAGTTTACCTTAATCACCTCCTTAAAGGCCCCATTTCCAAACAGAGGCACATTCTGAAGTGCTGGAGGTTAGGCTCCAACATGCGAATCTTAGGGGACACAGTTCAGCCCGTCATGGAGCACTTCCGTGGTCGCCTGTGCCAGAGCGTGTTCTGTGACCAGCACACCCGCTGGAGTGCAGCTCTTGGGGCTCCTGTGTTCGTCGTTCTCATTTTCTGGGGGCAGGGGCGTTGTCTGCAGCGAGGGTGGGGGTTGGGAGCAGCCCAGGTGCTTGGACCCCCCTCGATGTCCACAGCTGCTCCCAGCATTTCTGCCATGTGTTTTCAGCATGTTTTTCCAGAAACCATACGATAGCAAAGAGTTTGGTAGAAGCACGAAATGCCAGGTGTCCCGGGAGTGGGCAACGCCTACTGGGAAATTCTGCCGTGCCACGAGCCTGTGGGTCAAGGGTCCAGGCCCCTTGCAGTGATGTCCTTGGAAACTCCATCAGCCCGTGTCGTGTCACTGGTAGACCCCTTGGCTGGTGTTTTCTCTAGGACCACTGGCCCTCACTGGTCCCAGGGTCCCAAAGTACTTGGGGACACCATCTGCTCTCTGGCTTCAGGAGCCTGCACGCTCCTGCCTACTTACATCCTGTCACCTGTTTCTCTGCATGGACATGCTCCTTAGTGCCCACCCCCCACCAACCCAGGGCCAGACCAGCATCCCTGCGTGCCGCACCCGGAGTGTGTGTGGCTTGTCTCGTTCCTTGGTGACGAGCAGCTGTGGGTAGGTCGCAGTTGACAGTCCTGCCCCTGTGCCAGCCACAGCTACCCCGAGTCACCTTCTGTGTGTCTCGCTTCCATCTTTAAGGCTTCTTTTGGATTGGACCTGCCTAGCATTCAACTCCTCGCCAAAAAGGGGGGGCGTGTTCCCACGGTGCCATAGCCCCCGCTCTTCTCCCGGCAGGTGTTTGGCCACGGGAAGGCCAACGGGGAGCCCACGTGGGCTCTGCTGCTCACAGCCCTCATCTGCGAGACGGGCATCCTCATCGCCTCCCTGGACAGTGTGGCCCCCATCCTCTCCATGTGAGTTAAGTGGGCGCCGTGCAAGGGCACGGGGGATGGGGTGGGGGACGTGGCCACTGCTCATCCCACGTGCGTCCTGGGCCGGACCACACTACAGGTGTGGGTGAGGTCAGCGGGGAGGGCTCAGTCAGCCCAGGGAAGTTGGAACAGAGCCCGGAGTTGGGTGCGTGCTCGGTGGCTGCTGAGATAGGTGTGTGCCGAGGGCCCGCTGAGGCCCTGGTGTAGACCTCGGCCTGTCTCTGGAGGTGACACCGCCACGGGAGGGCAGGGTGTGTCAGGGCCTGACTTGGGACCATGAGGCCTTTGGTCCTTGTGTGGAGACAGACATGGGGTCAAGGTGGGCAAGAGCAGACCCACAGAGGGTGGTGGTCTGGCAAGGGGTGGTGGCGGCCGGCAGGGGTTGGGGCGAGGCTAGGCTGCAGGCAGGACCCGCGGCACTGGGAGGCCCACAGCTGGCCTGATGCAGCCCGTGTCGCAGGTTCTTCCTCATGTGCTACATGTTTGTGAACCTGGCCTGCGCCGTGCAGACCCTGCTGCGCACGCCCAACTGGCGCCCGCGCTTCAAGTTCTACCACTGGTAAGGCCCCCGCAGCCGCCGTGGGAGGGCCACCGTTGGGGACGCCTGTCACGTGCACGAGGCCGGCTGGCACCGCTGAGGAGCGCGTGGTGAAGCGGGCGGGCGTCTGGCGTAGTCCTGGGGTGGGGGCTCCGAGGGGCCAGTGGAGCTGGTTCAGACCCCAGCTGACTTGGGGGACAGGCCCTTCTCCAGCCGTTGCTGGTTGTTTTCTGTCTTAACTGAAAGGTTTTCACTAAGGGGAAAGGGACGTTTGTGGGGCAGCTGCTCAGACCTGGTCTGGGGGCTGGTTGGGTGCACCGTGAGCCGCGTGTCTCTGCAGGACGCTGTCCTTCCTGGGCATGAGCCTGTGCCTGGCCCTGATGTTCATCTGCTCCTGGTACTACGCACTCTTTGCCATGCTCATAGCCGGCTGCATCTACAAGTACATCGAGTACCGCGGGTGAGCGTCCCCTCGCGCCTGCTCCCTGGGGTCCGTGTCAGCCCTCCCACGGCAGTGGACAGGGGCCTGCAGGTTTCCCTCTGTCTCCAGCCAGGCCGCTGGGCGTGCACGCGTGGAGAAGGGGCTCCTGGCCGAGAGTGCCGCCCTCATAACAGGAGGATGGGGCGTTGGCCGGCTGTTACCCACCGCACGTGTGGGAAGATAGATTATTAGGCGGTTTATCTGTCTGTTCCTAACACACATAATTTTTTGCTGTGTATGTTTTGGGGATGTTGACAGTAGTAATGTGTGATGCATTTTGAAAGTTTCAAAAGCACATTGTAAACCAAAAACCGAAGGCTGGGCACGACTGTGCAGCACAGCGGCTGCACCTCCGAGCCTGTCCCCAGGCCCGAGGCCGCCTGGCACAGTCGTGGGCTGCTCCTGCACGTCGAGGCGGCGGTCCTCCTCCCGAGAGCCGCCATGCCTTCTCTCCCACGTGCAGCTGACCTCGGGTCTGGGCTCTGGCCCCTTCCACCGTGGGCTCTGCCCCGTCGAGGAGGGCTCCCCGTGCGTGCTGTAGAGTGCACTCTTGTACCTTTCAGAGCCATGGCTCCTCTCAACAACTGGCCTCAGGGACCTGCTTCCTTGAGTGAGGGGGGTGGTGGGTGGAGTCCCACCCGTGCCTTCATTCAGGATTGTCTCAGGGGCTGACCACTGACGGACCTGCCCCTGGAGCATGGCGCCTCGGGTGGGAAGTCTCCTCCATAGCTTGTTCTCGGGGTGGTGAGGGAGGGGCTGGGGTCTGCTTCCCACGAGTGCCAGGGAGGACTGGGTCAGGGCAGCTCTGCCGAGATTGCTGCCTGCTCAGGGGCTCCGAGCCCCCTACGGGGGTTACTGCTGCCCCTGCCCGCCCCAGTCCACCCAGGGCCCCTCCCCCACACCCACCCGTCTCCTGCTCTCAGCCTGCCTCGGGGAGCCCCCTCCTCTGTCGTGGAGCACTGCAGAAGCCCCGAGTTGATTTACTGGGGAGACATGGAGGAGTGGAGGGCTGCCACGGGCTGTGCTGCTGGGACGGGGACAAGGCGGCCCCCTGCTGTCCCTCTGCAGGGCCGAGAAGGAGTGGGGTGACGGTATCAGGGGCCTGTCGCTGAATGCCGCCCGCTACGCACTGCTGCGCGTGGAGCACGGCCCCCCACACACCAAGAACTGGAGGTGAGCACCCCCAGCCCTCGCCCTTCCTGAAATCAGACTCCAGAGTGAGAACGTTGTAACTGGGGGATGTTTGTCTCAGAAAAAAGCATCTGTCTTTAGCCTGGAGTGTGGTCATGGCGGGTCCTGGGCCCCGACAGGCTGCCGGGTGGTGTGGGTGGGGATGTGTGGGGGCGTTGGAGACCCCAGGCCCCCTCTCTGCCTTCGTGCTCCTGAAGTGAGGGTGGGACAAGGGTTGACTCTGGGAATTTTATCTGCGCTGAGAGCCCCTTGGCTTTGCCTAGCTGCGCCAGGAGGCTTTACCCAGCAGGGCAGGCCCCACCTCAGGTCCTCAGCAAGGAGCTTCAGCACTTGTCCAATCTGTCCCACACCTGTCCCAAACCTGCCCTATACCTGTGTCACCTGCCCTACAACTGTGTCATCCATCCCACACCTGTGTCACCCATCCCACACCTGTTATATCCGTCTCCTCCATCCCATAGCTGTCCCACCTGTTTTTGCCTGTCCTACACTTGTCCTATACCTGTCCTACCTCTCAGCTGTCCTGTACCTCTCACCTGTCCCACACCTAACCTGTCCTACACTTGTCCTATACCTGTCCTACCTCTCAGCTGTCCTGTACCTCTCACCTGTGCCACACCTGTCCTATACTTGTCTTACCTGTTCTGTACCTGTCCTATAGTTGTCCCACCTCTCACCTGTCCCACACCTGTCCTATACCTGTCACACCTGTCCCACATCTGTCCCTCCTGTCTCACCTGTCCCACACCTGTCCTATACCTGTCACACCTGTCCCACATCTGTCCCTCCTGTCTCACCTGTCCCACACCTGTCCCACCTGTCCCACACCCATCCTATATCTGTCTCACCTGTCCTATACTTGTCCCACCTGTTGGACCTGTTGGTGAGTGGAGCCCTGGTGAGCTGAATGCTGCCCCGTCCCTGCTCCTCCAGGCCACAGGTGCTGGTGATGCTGAACCTGGACACAGAGCAGCGTGTGAAGCACCCACGCCTGCTGTCCCTCACCTCGCAGCTGAAGGCCGGCAAGGGCCTGACCATCGTGGGCTCGGTGCTGGAGGGGACCTACCTGGACAAGCACGAGGAGGCGCAGCGCGCCGAGGAGGTGGGCAGGGTGGGGCCCCGGCTGCCCGTGTGGGAAGCTCCGCGTGTGGCACTGTCGTTTGCTCCAGTGGAGACAGTGGTTTTTGAGCTCGAACGAGCAGGAGTGGAGACCCTGTGAAGAACCCAGGCAGTAGGCGCAGCGCTGGCCACGCCTCAGGAAGTCGTGAGACTGGGGTACCGCGGCCTGCAGGGCCGAGCCTTAGGAGGGCCCACACTGGTGGATGGGCCCTGTCGGGAGCCCGCCGTCATGGCTCTGCCGCACGTTCCGTCTTCTAGTACTTGGGATCGCTGGGCCACAGAGTGAGGTCCGCATGCTGCCCAATTTCTGCCCATTCAGAGCACTGCGGACAAGGGGGTGAGGGACAGAGCCTGCTGTGCATGGGGTTGGTGTCGCCTGACACCCACTGACTGCAGCCTGGCAGCCCCGGGAACCCTGGGTTCCGAGACTTAGCTTCCTCAGTTCATTTCTCTAATCTCCAAACTTCTTGTGGGGCACGAGACAGAGACAGCGAATGGCGTCTGAGCCCCCCGTGGCCTTTCCCCAGCTGTCCCCACGTGGCCAGGGTCCCGTCACCTCCACCCTCCCTTCCCTTGCCGGGTGGTTCCATGAAAACCCACGCTGTTCTGTCGTGTGGGACCGTCTCTGAGACAGGAGGAGACTGCCCGCCTGTACCGTGATGATCGCCCTTCGATTATACCTCGTTCCAGGCAGCATCCAGCTGCCCATGGTCTTGAATCTCCTTCCTTCCCTCCTTTCTCTGTGTCTGAACTTGCTGGGCTCCCGTAGGGCTCCCGCGCACTGGTGGCTTGTCTCCAGGGCTCTCCCTAGCGGCCCGCTCTGCCCACCTCCCTGGCAGGGGTGCCCGCGTCTGGGTTTTGCTGGTGCGTCCAGGCGTGCTGGAGCTGACATCTGCCCTCTGTGTGCCTGCAGACCTGCAGCCGCGCCCAAAGGCGTGTTGAGGTCCAGGCCAGGCACTGTGGGGTGGGAGAGCGCTCAGAGGAGGGGCTCGAGCGTGTGGACAGTAGCGGCCGTCCACGACCATGGCCTGGGGCAGCGCCTGGCCCCTCCCGCGTCCCTGATCACCAGACAGCGGCCTCCTCCAGGCTGCTGT